CCGTGGTTGATAACTGTAATGTTGTCGGTTCGGATGCGGCATCCGTTCTTGTTGTGGACGACAAAGCGCCTGCGGATGCTGTTGTCATTTCTTCCTCATCCCTATCCATTGTGTTTGATATCTTCCTGTTTGTTGCGACTGTAGTGAATGAAATACAGAAACAAAGCAACTGTCGCAGTGGGGAATCACCCCCAATAGCGTGGTTTGGATGTCAGTTGTAACTGTAAAAAAAGGATTTATTTTTCTCTCCCACCGTATTTGATGATGTAATAACCGATACGTCGTATCATACTATGTCGTAATAGAGAGGGAGTACGAACCGGTAAAATGCAAGCAGGTGTTTTGGGTCATGTGAAGATTCCCATGTCGAATCACAATACCGTCATCGTGTCTTCGGTCGGGAAGCAACAGTGTCCTTGGAGTAGCAACACTAAGGTGAAGGTGAAGGGCATAATAATGATCATCTTATTATATTTTTCCCGAGCCGGGCGACATACGTCGTTTGCCTCACAGGCAACAAAACTTATGAAACGAGGTTCGCTCAAACAGAGAAAAAGACTTTCAAAACTTTTGTCATCATCCCTCTCTTTGCTTTCCCGGTGACGGGAAATCATCCATCCTTCCATCTCCCCCCACACCATCGAGTATCAGCAAAACCCCACCACTTTTGCAAAAATCAACAACCAAACTGAGGATTCTCTCTGTGAAGCCCATCACGAGAACCACTGCGTTGACATCTTGGGCAGAAGAAAGCAAGAACTTCGAACAAAAAGGACTCACTGAAAGAATGACGATAGACATGTCATTGGTGCACTCCCATCCACGCAGCTGGTTGGATCGCAAGTTCTTTTCCTTGCGACATCTCATTCATGGGATGATTGTCGGAACATGTATCCTCTCCATCGGATTCAACCATCGACGCATTGCAACCCATGTGGCCAGAATGGCAACGTTGGACGAATGGACTTTCTTGCAGGTGGACTCACTGTCCGTCTTGGTACATCAAGATATCAAGTTTTTGCGACGGGAAGACTTGAATATGACAAGGACATCCTCAATTTCTCCGCAGTCTCTACAGAATCTATCACGAGCTACTAGTACTACGACAGAAGTTGACAAACGCACGAGTCGTGATGCGACGTTGTTGCTGAGAAGTGACAGTAGCATCTCGAGCATGAAAAATACGAATAGCGTTGGAAATCGTCTCAACGTTGACCCACGTTGTAAAACACAGCAAGTCCAAGACTTTTGTACAAGTCCAGCCAACAGCATTCCAAATTGTATGGATCATAAGGCTGAAGTGCCATACATTTACAATATCACCGACCCAAACAACCTAAATGTATCTATGTATCAAGACAAGGACAATGATTGCAAAACGCTTTGGTTTACAGGCTTTCACGAAGGGGAAAACGCTTGTCCAGACGCGGCGAATTATGCCGCGGCATTGACGTCGGCACTGAAACATGCCGGGGATGCTCTTCAGCCTGTGTTGATGCTTGGACGTGATGGACTCCCCAATCAACATTCTCCCGAATTGAGTCGGACAGGCCAATGGGCAAAAGATCGGGGTGCTCGCGTCATTATAGTCCCACATCTTTCCTTTCAGGACCAAGTTAATGTGACAACGGATAACGATGGGAGAGAGAAGGAATACAGCGCAGCCATGGGACCGTTTCTGAGACTGGATATACCAATGATTATTGACAGATACAACCTCTTTGACCAGCCTGGTATTTGCCAGAAATACGTTCTGTACACCGACACAGATGTCATTTTCCCGAACAGGATTACTCGTGGGGACGTTGCAGCGCTCAAGCAAGATCTCAAAGCTTCTCATGGAGAAGCCATTATTTCGTACGGTCGAGAATCCGGCATGGAAGCACATAACTTTAACACTGGAGTTATGATACTGGACGTACCAAACTTTCAAAAGGAATAGCCTTCTATTCTGGAATTCGCTAAATCGCGAGACAAGTTTCCGGCCAATGATCAAATTCTACTGAACCACTACTTTACGCAGTCAGAGGAGATTAAAAAGAAACGAAAAATTCTCTCCTTGTATTGGAACTGGAAGTCGTATTGGACGTTAGAGCCGAGCACCCATGACCAGGTAAAAGTCATTCATTTCCACGGACCCAAACTACAGAAAGGTCTCGAGGAAATGGCAAGGTGCGAAATTGAAAATTGGGATCAGCTCATCTTACCAGAATATCAACATCTCTTCAAGCATGGAATATGCTGTGATCAAGGAAAAACGGCGAAGTGGGCCGTCGATCTTTCGTATCGGTTCCAAGAAACTCGGCAAGATAATTGTGAAGAAGCTGAAAGGGATAAACCAGAAATCCCTGTTACCGCAGCTGTGAGGGGCAACGACCAGAATGTCACTAGGATGAAGAGGTTGAGTTTCAATTACTCAGCTGGCGACTCAGCCGAACCGAGATTGCCTCTTCATCCCCATTGCATTTCGAACGAAAGAGAAATTTCTAATTTTTGTTCCACCAAGCCAAATCAAGAATGCATGAGTCATCACCCAGAAGCTCCACCACTTCCCAAAGGTCCTGTACAAAATGATTTTATCGAGTCTTCACCTTGTAGGACACTATGGTTTGCTAGTTTTCACGAAGGAGCAGCAGCCTGCCCGCTAAATCAAAACGGCGGCGCTGGATATGCAATGGACTATTCGGCAGCTCTAAACTCTGCAATTGCCAATGCAAGAACCGTACTGCAACCTGTCCTCTTGCTTGGCCGATATGGCCTTCACAACGAAAACTCTACAGAGCTTTCCAAGGTAGGCAAATGGGCAAAACAACACGGAGCTGAAGTCATTGTTGTGCCAAGGCTCTCCTTCCAGGACGACATCGATCTCCGAGAAAAAAATTTTCCAAAGGAACATTTCATTCAAGCATCCATGGGGCCATTCATGAGACTTGATATTCCTCATATCATCCGGAATTTCAAACTCTTTGACAACCAAGAGATTTGTCCAAAGCACATCCTCTACACGGATTCTGACGTTGTATTTGCCAATCAAATCACGACTCATGACATCAATCACATCAAGAACGACTTGGTCGCATCCGGTGCCGTCGTATCATACGGCCGCGAATTCAGCATGGGTCCTACCATTACTAACACTGGGGTGATGCTGATGGATGTTCCGGCATTCGAAGCTGAATGGCCATCGATTTTGCAATATACCAAACGTCAGCCCCAATTCCCTGGTCACGACCAGCTTCTCTTGAATTCCTACTTTGAGTCTCAGCTACTAGGAACCAGCAAAGATGCCCGCTCAGCAAAACGCAGCTTGATGTCCATAAATTGGAATTGGAAGGCATATTGGAAACTTGAACCACGAAGTCACGAATCCATCAAGGTACTACACTTTCATGGTCCCAAGCCTGGTAAGGGGTTGGAAGAAATGGCCATGTGTCAGATAGATATGGATAGAGTCATTCCTGGATACCGCCGACACATCTCCCATGCCATATGCTGCGACCAGGGGAAGACCGCCAACTGGGCAGTCAATCTCTTCAATCAGTTTTCAGCGCCCCGACACGAGGTCTGCGACACATAGGTACCTCGTAGAGGAATTAATCCAGTAAATTTTGTGGGAGTCGGAAAAATTAGTTTCGCGCTGCTCTCTCAACTCTCCATAGGCAAACGCATCGCGAACAATCCGAAAGACACAGAAGGAAACTAGGTAGTATAGTACGTAGTAATTCGACTCTGCGGCCCTTAAGACATCCCTTTGGCACAGATGTGAATCAGTGGATACAGATCCAGCCCTTCTTGACCTCCTTCTGTGGGGCCTGAACCATTGGCTCCAAGGCACACCAATCCCAGCCCACCGCGTACCCGAAAGGATCGTCCATCTACTCCACAGTCAAACTACGATAGGGTGGGACAACTTCCTCCTCGGCCGATGGTCCAAGCACCGGACTACTCTCCAGTTGCAGTACTTGCAACGGAATCACATTGAAGTGAAGAAGAAAAACCATGGTCTCTCGTGGTCTAGCAACATTATCCATCTCATGTGGGATCACTGCTACAAAGAAATGGAAAACACGAAACAGCGCTAGACATGGTAAAGATGCCGAGGACAAGGCTCAGCGACGACTAGAAACAGCTCACCGGAGCATTCGGGACCTATACGACCTCAAACCCAGGTGCTCCCTCCAAGCCCAGCGACATTATTTCTACCCCACAGTAGAGGACCATTTTCGCAGAGATACCGACGCACGCAGCCTTGAAAACTGGCTGGAAACATACCAACCCATGATCATGCAAAACATCAGACACCGACGGGATAATTAAGACCGCCGCCTCCGACAAATTGACGATGTTTTTCATCTCATAAGGACTGTACCTCCAAGCAACCCGACACCAACGATGGCACCGAGACAACGTACGCCCACACTGACAACCCGTCCCATCACCACATATTTCCGTCCCCACAGAATCACATCCCCCACTCCGACTCTGGAGACACCAACCACCACAGCAAGAACAACCTCCACATCAAACAACCCGACCACCACAGCACCCCAACCACCATAATACCTACCGACAAACAAACAAACAAACAAACGCATAAATATGCTTTTTCCCATCTCACATCAATTCCTCTCCACTCAGATGAACTTTTCCTCCTCACGTAGGAGGTTTTACTACCATTACCACATCCCTGGAGCGATCTCCGGTCACTCCCTGCAGTGCCTCGCCCTTCGGGGCCCGGCTGGTGAGTCAACTTCTTAGATACAGAACTACCGTTAGCTAGTAGTTGGCATAGCCATGAAATAGATTTTATTTTCTCGTAGTGATTCGACTCTACTCTACTAGAGACAACAACTTTTATTATTAGAGGTGGTCTACTTCTAGCTAATAACCAAGTACTTTTAGTACTACGGTATTACTACCTATTCGAGTACTACGGTAGTACTACCGGTACGTATGAGAGCTGGAGCGCAAAAAAATTCCATTCTGGAGCACAAAAATAATTCCTCGTGAGAGACTCGAACTCCCGTCGCTGGAATCAGAACCCAGAGTGATAACCACCTACACTAACGAGGATGCTTGCAATGCAGCGTTCCAACTAGCCCCAGATCGACCAAAAAATAATATATGTACCCTTACACTGAATTTTGAATTAATTACTTCGAAGTAACAGTATGGTAATTACATTTAATAGCAGTACGACGTATTACTCTGTGATCCGAGTACCGTACTCTAGCTAGTAGGTACTGTTTTAACACCTCATGTGAACGCTACTACCGTACTACAGTCGTACTACCGGTAGCTACCTGCAACGGTACGTTGAAGTAATAGTAACACTGGGTAGTGCTACAGTTCGAGTTCAGGTTTTTAAGTGAGCAGATCAATCCCAGAGAAGTCGTTGTCATTCTTCTGTGACGGCAGACAATCCCATGCGGATTGTCTACAGACGAATTTCGCTTTTCAAGGGGTAGAAAAGCCGGACACAAAGAGGGCCTCCTTTAAGGCACCATAGGAATTCAGCAAAGATATCCCGAGCACTCAGATTTGCCAAAAAATTCTAGACAAAATAGTTGCCGCTGTCAACGGTTGGGATGGTGGGAAACAACCCAAAAAAAGGGACACGAAAAGGTTACGACATGCTTCTGCGTGCATCCTTGTCCCAATGGAACATCGTTTTCTTTTTAGCAACAAACGTGTAAATTTTGGTGAAGGCAAGTCTATGTGCGTATGTTTCTGTGAATTATGAAGTACTTCGTGGTAACGTAGTAGATCATTTTGAGTTTTTCATGGTGGTAAATCACTTTTTTTTATACAATGTTGCAACGCATACAGGACTCGTTTTCTGCTTGCAAAACAATGACCCTTTGACCCATCCCCGGGAGTTTACCAATAATCGTAAATTTTAAATTTATTGCATTGTCTAGCGTCATCAAGCACGACTCTTCTTCTTTGCCTTCTTCTCCTCCTTGTTGTCCTTCCTTCTCTTCTTTCTCTCAACCTCAACCGTCTCTCCTCTTTCTACAGGAGTATGGACGTCCTCTCGTGGTTCAGATTCACGGGATCGCTTCTTATCCTTTCTGTCCTTCTTCTTTTCGGTTTCCCCTACACTGGCAAGATTACTCGATGTTTCTGACACCTGTGCAGAAACAACCGGAGCAATGACGGGTGGCCGTAAGGCTGCGGCGATATCCTTATTTCCAAAAATACATGCCAAATCATCCACATTCTTTTCTCCAAATTTGGCTAGTCGCATCTTTTGCGCATGTCCAGCTGTCACCTTATTGGAAGGTAATACCATTCCCTTCCCTTTCTTCTCCCTACTACTCTTTTTCTTCTCCTCTTTTTTGTTCTTTTTCTTTTTGGTCGTCTCATTGGTTCCATGATGTTGCTGCAAAGTCTTCAACACGGCCGCAAAGGTATTGGTACTTTCTGACTGTCCACCCTCTGTCTCGAGTTTTGCGCCCAAACCGAGCCCTTCTTGTCGTTTCACAGCACGCAAAGCCGTGGTGTTGGCGTTGCGTTTGCCAATTCCTTTCCCTTCGGACCATCCCATCTTTTGCAGCAAAGCACTGCCCTTGTTATTGGCCCGCCATTCAATGTTGCGAGTATCTTCGACTTGCACAATAGTCATGATAAAATATTGGGGATGTTGATTGAGCTGTCAATGTGTGATACAAGACGTAGAATGCCTTCTACCAGAACAAGAGATAGAATAGAACAACCTTGGTAACTGGAGGACGTGGAAGAGGACGGTCCCAGTCTGAGCGGAGTCTGTTCTGTTGCAGGGTAGCGTTGACTACCGTAACTTCTGTCGTAGAAATAGTTGACGCAAACGAGTGGTGGAGAGAGGGGAGCGGTGTCGTATTATCAAACGTAATACTACAGTAAGAATAGGGGTAACGAAAAATCAATCTTCATAATTGTGAATATATATAACTAATAAATCGCCGTTTTTCTCGTGCTGGGGTCTTCCTGATACCATGCCAAACCGCTTTTTTCTGTCCGGCACTGCGGGAAGGTTCATACACAGCGTCACTATTATTTAGCAACCCTTGTGGTAATCTCTTCTTTTTTACTTCGAAGTACTTTTTTCTTTTTTGACAAAACAGTAGTGCGTAGTAGGAATTCTGCTGGTATACCGTAAATACGACTAGTACTACGTATACTTCGAAGAAGTACTGGAGTATAGAAAGTATATTATTGTTTTTGCAAAGATAGTTAACGACAGCATAGTCTAAACTAGACGCTTACAGTTAGATAGAAAGATACAACGTACATATTATGTCATGCTGCTGAGTACAAATTGCTTTCTCATGAATGAACAAAAGAACTATTGCTCGATGAACAGCCATTTCTTAATTTATTAGGCATCCAAATCCTGACACATGAGGACCGCCTGTGGTACCAAGTCACACTCTTCCAACGATTTGGAATCGTCTTCGTACGTCTTTCTCGGAAAATTGGTAGAGAGAGAAATATTCTTGACAATATATAAAACGTCTCCTCCTCCCTGAGCTGCGGCTTCTTCGGCAAAATGCAAAATCAGAAAGGCTTTAAGTGCTCCAATTGTCTCGTCGCATTCAAATCGACGTTCCAATTTCTGTCCACTTGGCAGTTGGAACCGAATGCGGGTAGTCCCACTTTTCCCCTGGTTCGGTTCGGGTCGAATCAAGGCCCGTGCTCGTTCCAATCGATCTTGCTCCTCTTGTATCTTTTTTTGCTCAGCCTCCTCTATTTCCCTTTGCAACTGTTCTTGTCGTTCCTTTTCTTCTTGTTTTTGTCGTGCTCGTTCTTGATCCAACCGCAAAGTTTCTTGATATTCCTCGTCTTGCTGTCGACGCAGTTCGGCTTCCTGTTCCTGTTGTAGACGTCGGGCTTCTCGTTCCTGTACAGTCATTTGATGTTTCTGACAAGTGGCGGAGATCAAGTTGAAGAGTTGGGACGACGTCATTTGTTGCAGAGCAGGTCCTTCGGCCTTGAAGACAAGTTTGAAGGGATTGTTTCGATTGTTGTTGTTGCTGCTGCTGTTGGACGTAGCGTTGCTGGCAGTCGACGACGACGGCGGTGGTTGTAGCAGTGCGATGCATGGAAAACTCGAAGCTGCCAGTTGAAATGAGAGGGACGCTCCTTGAGACGTGTGGATGGAAGCCCCAATCGCACGGATTCCACCGATGTGATCCTTGTTTTGGTTCAAATATTCCAACATCGATGAATTGAATATTTTTTGACACAATTTCGTGGCTTGTCGATGAATGGGTGAGTGCAAGTATACCAATATCAGGCATTGTGTGGTTGTCGTTTCTTGTTGTAGCGCCCCAAATCCCATGGTCGAAAAAGCGTCGGAGGCGAGGTTACTTGAGTTGTTGTTGTTGTTGAGAGTCACTTTCAAATAGTGCACAAATTGCTGTGATGCCTTTTCTGTGACAGCCGGTGATAACCCATCATACTCCCCCGCTGGAAGAAGCAAATCTGTCATCCGGCGAAGCGGCCAGAATAATGTACGGAGCACCACGGTGAAGATGTTCATCAACCATGATCCCGACGAAAACAAACCACTGCCAGCAGTGCCTCTTGTCTAAAAAGAGAGGATACAATATGAACAGTAAAATGGGATGAGTTATCAAACAAAAAATCGGGAAATGCAACGACGAACCGTTATACAATGCTGGACAAACGATACTTCTTCACAGTCGATGATCTTTTACTTTTTACACTTACATGGTTTCTGTTTCCGGAGGACGGAGACGTTGTACGTGCCATTATAATTGCGATCCCCTTTTTTTCTTTTTCTTTTCTACCCTGTCAAATGCCAAATACCCTTGTCGAACAAACAGATTGATCGATTCGTGATAACTCTCCCACGTCTTGAGAAGGCTTGTTGGTGTTCTCGTCGTCAGCAAACACAACAAACGCCAACCGTCCACTAAAGTGTGTGTCTTTGGTTTGATGGTTGATTGTTTGTTCTGCCTTGACTCGTATGATACGAGGGAGAAAACAACAGAGAGAGATAGCTTGGAGTAGCTTGTTTCACCAATATAGAAGGGATGAGGTATGCCAACGAGATGTATAATACCCAAGATAGCTTCGGTAGATAGAAGCAGAATGCGTCGTTAAGATAGAAGATAATAGAAAAAGAAATGTGTTGTTTCTCATTCGTCGTTTCATCGTCATCAATATTATCTGCTGTAAACTGTCGTAGTTGAAAATGGGTGAAAAATATTACTGTTATTACTCTAGCTCTCTACTACCGTACTATGATAGAGAGTAGAGGTACCGTACACTACAGCCAGAGTGTATTTACTGTTAATTACAGTTAATTCAGCGAAGAAAAGCGGGCGAAGACTGGTGCATCGTCATGATACATACGAAGCATATTGCTGATACGACAACTACCTACCTACTCTACCAGGTATCGTACTATCATACTCAGTATGTACGACATATGATTCCAACTGTCAACTAGCTAGCTAGTCTACTTGATGGTTGATGCTTTTTACAGTTACGTCGTGTACCGTACTCGTTTTGATAAGGAGTGACACGTGGAACCAAAATCACCACCGTATCATACGGTAGTAGACTACCGTAGTATCCCGATACGGTAATGTGAGACATTATTATTTACAGTTAGACTGTGATGATGTATTGACGAAGTGAGATCTCTCCTCGCCTTTCTCTCGTCATGTCAATTTATACGACAAAGTCGTGGTAGTGAAAAGAAGAGAAATGTAGATGATGATAATCCAGATTATAGGAATTTACATTTCTAGTGAAAAGATGAAAAACACAAAGATGAAAGATGGCAACGAGAATCAAGAGATGAAATCTGACCGAATGACGTAAGAGGTGACGTAAGAGGTGGATCTGAAGTAAAGAGGTAAAGGGATCGTGAATCAAAGATATCACGGGACTGACTCTCAACTGACACCGATACACCTCGACACTCCCTCTCAAGCGTAGATGCAGAAGGACTGAGACAATCACCACCAGAAAAACTGCTACCAACAGATGGCATGGAAGCAGAAAAAGAAAGGTAGTGAAAGATGGTAGAACTGTAGCGTGATAGGAAAAAGTCCTGC